AAAATCATGAGGTTCTAGTTAAAGCACGAGAGTCAGCAGAGCTGCACGGTCTGAGGGCACGGGCACGCTGCAGAGCAGGCGCCGGCCCAACGCAAAACGGCGGCCAAAGGATGAGATTTTGGGCAATGATACTTTTATTTCTGACCATTCCTCTCTTCCCCAGTCCCTTTTAAAATCTTAAAATGATGCAATTTCATTGCAGGTCCAAGCCAGGTGGGGTCTACCAGGAGGTCATTCACGTTTTTCCACCATCAGCCACATGCACATAAAGGGCTCTGCCACTTTGTCCGTCTGTCCTGGACGCATGGACATCTCCGGTGCATGCTGGTGAGCAGGGACAGCACCGATCTAGATTCTGCTCCACAGGAACTCATGCAACTCACTCAGATAATTAAATGCTTGAGCAAATACGTTTACAAAATAAATATTGAACCGGAACTAAAGGAAAATAAAATATTAGGAACAAAAATTGTCACCCCAGGTTACAGAAATGGTCAAGACATCTAGCAACCAAAGATGGTAAGGCAAAAGAGGTTTCCAAAAGAGTAGAAAGATCCCACCTTGTTGGCTGAGAACAGAAGAATGACAGAGATACCTCACTTAGTGAACAATTTATACTCTGAAGGGGTATCCTGCACCTGAGTGTCCTAGGCCAGTCCAGGGCTGTGGTGTTATTTTCCTTTCTGATTGCCTCTTTAATCCAGAAAAAGAAAAGCAGGATTATCTATTTTCTGCTGAAGTCTACTTCTGCCACATCCCCCTGTTTGTATTTTCTGCACTAGGTTGTCATGGTCTTCTAAATCCATGTTCCTATGAGACTTTTACTCATATTTACTTGAGATATCCATCACTATACCCTTTCTGCTTCTTTTGTACACAGCGTCTTGGCACCTGTGGATGGATCCACAGTGAGATGTAAGGACTGAGATGCTAGTGCAAGTGCTGAAGTCCAGCTCCTTGTGCACAGCAACTCCCTGGGTAAAACCTTTCCAGGATCAATTCCCACTGTAGCCCCATTTCTCGTTCCTACAGCATGGCCACGTATGGGCTAAGGGCTGAAGCTTAGACAGAGCTTGCTGCACTCCTTCTACTGAACCCATGCCATGGTGCAAACAGGAACGTGAGTCAGAAGAACAAGCCAGAAATCTTATTTTCAGCTAATTCACATCCTCTTTTTCTTCTTCTTTTTTTTTTTTTTTTTTTTTTTTTTTTTCCTTCCTTTCTAATTCAAAACATGCACAGTGCAAATGCATGGGTGTCCCAGCAAGCAGGGAGCAGGATCCAAACTCTCCCTCTGCCCCAGGGAGGCACTAATGGGGAGGATGAACTTGGCCTCCAGCTTAAACCTCTCCCGGCTACGTCTCAGCTCAGCCAGAGCTCCTGTGCATTTTCTTCTAGACCTGGATCATGGAGACAGTCTCTGGGGATGATGCCCTCAAGGAGAGGAAGACAAGGTTCCCCGTGTCTGATGCAACCTCGGGGAGGGCTCTTGTGCAAAGAGTGGAGGGCAGAGCCACCCCCTGGCAGCTGCCTGCATGGGAAGTGCCACCCCAGCCGGTCTTCAGCCCCTGTATCCCATGCCCAGTCCTCCTGCAGAGACACCAGGGACACGGGTGCCAGGTCCAAGGGGTGACCAGCACCATAGTAGTGCAGGGCAGCCTGGAGCAAAGCAGGAGAAAGGGGCTGAATGGAGGTGGCCACAGGGTAGAGCCTTCATGTGAGCCTACAGCCAACCTAAGCCTGCTCTTAACATCACATTTTGCATGGAGACTGTCCATCTCATCCTAATGGGGGTGTGCAGACTCATTAAAATGGTTTGCTTTGGCAGCAAGGAGCTGCTGCCAGACAGAGAAGCCCAGTTTGCTTTTAAAACCCATGCCATCTCCTAAAGAACCACATTTTCTTCTTCTGACATGTCCTCTCATCTCTTTTTGGTTTTAATTTACCCTTCTAAATTGAGATACTAGAGCAGGTGGAAGCAACCCAGCTCCAGGCTAATTGGTTCATCATGCACGTTACGATAATTTTCATTCTGGATTTCGATTAGGTCAATATGGAGACTGCCTTGGTCAGAGCCTGTAATGATCTGCTTATTAACTCTGTTGCAGGGTCTTTGACTGTACTCATGTTATTAGAGATTGCAGCTGCCTTCAGCTCTGTGAACCATGCAGTTTTATTGGACTGTCTAATGTCCTGTGCTGGACTATCTAACTGCTCCGTTTCTGTCCTATCTGGCGCCAAGATTTCACTTTGTTCCTTTAACCCACCTCCAACCCCACCGAAATTGTTTGTGTTTTTCTGCAGGGTTTTTATGCCAGTTCTACCCGTGTTAATTAGATACTGCGTTTCCTACTGTGGCACCATGAGGGAGGATGTTTTCATTGCTGAATAAACAAACTATCATTTATAATTTTTCCATCAAATTCTGGTAAGGCAATCTTCTCTTTTTCAAATGTTTTGAAGGTTTGGTTTGGAAAACTTTTATTAGGCCTTGACTGCATCCAGACAGGGATGGATGATTGTTGGTTGGCAGAACACAGATATACAGTGCAGTAAGGGGCAAGATGACTTACTTATTTCTGTTGTACTGACAGCTATCTTGGCAGTGGGAGATTTTAGCAAATCGCAACCACTTTGGCACTAGACTTTCCACATTTCAGCACACTACTGGCACTTTCAGTATTTCCCCATCTAAACAGTGTTTCCAGAGAAAAGGTATTTTCATGTTTAACTGGCACAGAGAACCCTTTTAATGCTTTTATTACAATCAGATTTGATTACTGTAATGTGTTTTTCTGCCCATCTTCCTCTTGCTCGTGTGCTAGTTCCTTACAGTGGTTCAGCAAAACTTCTGCCACTGCTTAAAAATGCTGACGATAAAAATCCTGTTTGCTATTCTTTGCATTATTCTCTTTACTGCTTCCCTATTTTGGGTATGCAACCCTTAAGTGGCTTGACTTTTAAGAATGAAACTCTTTGTTGGGTACGTGGAGAGGATCTTCTGGTGGGTGGGAATGTCCCAGAGGCAACTCAAGGTGGAGGAGAAGAGCCCAAGACAGAGGTGGAGGGATATTGGATCACTGAGAAGGAAAGAATAGGAGTCTTCAGGGAGATGTGTTTGCATGGAGAGCATTGGCTTCAGTGTGTACATCAATATGTAAAAAACAAACAAAAAAAAAAGCTGTAATGTATTAAATCAAACCAAAACAAATATTTTGCTATATATCTGGTTTTCATGAGTTGCCCAAGATTTCTGCATCAGGATTTCTATCCAAGCACTCTTGGTCTTCTGATATTACACTCCTGCTTTTGTTACTACTCCTGCCTCCATCCGTTCCTCTCTCTTTAAGATTCTGGGAGGTATTAATTCTCTTAATGTTTTTAATCAAGGCATCAAAGGCATTTTGATCAGACAATTTAAAGTGATCAGCACTGGCCTAGCTCAGCTCCAACTGATGGCTGTGGTTAAATTCCCAGCAAATTTAACTGGAATGAAATTAGACACATATGAATGAACACATATGAAAAAATGCTTCCCCCTAAGTGTTGCAAGTAAAGCTTTCATTTTCACAGAGAATGGTGTCTTAAATTAAGCCTAACTCATGGAAGTTCATCATGTAGCATGCTGGACATCACCCTGCCCAAGCCATAAGCTAAGGATGACCCAGTTAACCACAGTGAGCCTTTGCTTAGCTCCTAATTAAAATGCAAACATTTGTTCAGTTTGTTTGTCAGATGTTCATATAATTCCTGTCTGTCTAAACTCAAATTATCCTCTCTGAGCTTAGCTACAGATCCTGTGGTTACTTCTTGCTGACTTTTCAATGAACAGCCAAACATCCAACATCAGTATCTTTCAGCATCCTGGGCCTTCAGGTTGGTCTTCTTTCTTCTTTCTTCTTTTCTCACCCACGTTCTGTTTGCTTTTTCCTAGGAGGAGCAGCAGATCGGTGACTTTTTCTCCCTCTCAGTGAAGTTTCCCACGAGAATTGCAGACGGCACCCTTCACCAAACATAACGCTTGGAGGTTAAACGGCGATATTTGAACTGATACTGCCAGATCCGAACCCTAAAGTGCAGTGGACACGTGGTGCTGCAGTCCATGGATAGACAACCCGCTCCATCTCGCCCAATAGCCTCCGGTCGTTGCTGCTGTAACGAGCTTTGGCGTTGCTCTTTTTGCCTCTCCTTTCCTTCCTCCAGCAATTCTGATATCCCCACGCTGAACATCATGTCACTTACTGTAGGCTTAGCTCATTTATCCTTAAGGCTGACCTTTCTCTCAGCCTTTGCATATATCTTAGAGGGGAACAGGGGACCTTGGTGGAGATATGTGCCCAGTTGTTTCAGCAATGTAGTCTGCCTGAAATCATATTTCCTCACGCATTGAGAGGCCGTGCTTCTTCATTTAGGAAACCTGATACACTCGGTACATCTGCCTAACTAATAGTTGAGGAACAAATTATAAAGCATTTCAAGTGCAGTTGCCCTGCTGAACTTTTCCTTGTCCAGCTTATGTGGCATTTAATTAAATAATGCACCATTGCACACCATTAAAAAATTATCAAGAAGACTTTCTTGTAATAAATATCTCCTTCTAAAACAGGGCACATAACCTAGTCCTGACCAACATAAAACCCCGTAGTGTGTGCTTCTGGCATTGGTATTCAGCACCTGATTTACATCCTTACATCTATTTAATGTCTTAAGGATTCCTTAAGCACCCACTACAGTGGTATCAAAGCACCGATAATTTGCAAAATAAACTTTTGTATGCAATAAAACTATATGAATCATGTCATCTGCAACAAATTTACTGGGAATCTGTATTCTAGAGCCACTTAAAACATACCTACTTCACACTTCACTTCAGTCTTGATCATTTATTTTTACATGCAGTTTACAGAGGTTTCATGACTTCATTTTCTCCTTAAGTTTCTGCTTCATCACACCTTCTATGGGAGAAGGAAAAGATGAACTATAAATGTTTCCACGCAACCCATACTATATATATAGAATGCGGATGAGAGGAGGAGAACTAAGCAAAACCACAGGAGTGCATTTTTTGATTGTTTGTTTTTAAAAAGATGTGCTTTAACCAGAAGCAGAAAGCTCTGCTTCAAGGTTCAAAGTTTTCAAGCCTAAACCAGTGATCTCCAGGAAGCTCCATGTTAGAGTAGCCCAATTAAACTGTTCTCAATTTGTCAGTTTTAAGAGTTAAGAAAGAAACTGAAACTGGTCACAGTTGAGTAATTACCTGAGAGGTATCCCTGTCTTATCGAAAGGTATCACTAAAACGTTTTCACACAATGAAAAAGATGAGTCACTAGCATGCTCATGATAGTTTCTTGGCCAATTTTCCTAACACCTATAAAATCCTCCAATACTTTTTCTTATTTCTCATGTTCAGTTGTTTAAACAAGTTCAAATGTCTGCTTTACTAATTGTGCTGATAGTTATCATGGGTTTCCTTTGGATAATCACAGAATAAAGAACTGGGTAAATGGACTATAATTGTAAATTGTCAGTAACAACGTTAATGCTGGCATTGGTTAATTATGGACTATATTTGATCCATACGAAACACTCCAGTTGCTTCAGTTTAAGTCAGTAACATCCTAGACTTGTTTTAAATAGACATGATTTTAATTCAGCAATAATAAATCATAGCTAGGGATGCTGGACTTTGTTCTTTCAAAGCTTAGAGCAGGGCAAACATTTAATCTTTACACAAAGTTAAAAGTCTAGGGATAGGCCTTTTGAGGGAGCAATGAGCACTTTGTATATTATAAATGTCCTTCCTTTGGTTGATGCAACATGTCCCTCAGAGAAAAGCACGGTCAGGTTCTATTCCCTAACATTAATGCAGTTGTGGTGGGACCTGAGATGAACCAGAAGACCTTCTTGCCTGGAGAAGGTCTCAAACCTTTAAAGAAGTCATTACAAAAATGCTGTAGAGTCCAAAGCTGCCAACTCAATGCCACAGAGCAGCGGAACGCAGCTGTCCAGGGCCAACTACCACCGCAGCCAGAGTGGGAAAGCAAAGTAGGGTCACCTTGAGGTTGGTGCCTGCCTATGTAGAGTCCTGCTTCCTTTGTTCCTCCTCATCTCACCAAGGTGTTGGCCTTGGAGACTACAAAAGAGGAATACAAAGCAATTAGCCACCCGACAAAAAGTATTTTCAGAGTTCTGATGCAAAATGTAGTGACACCTGTACAATACAACCTGTCACAGGATGTTTTACATCAGGTCACGATGATGTCAGAAAACATACTGCAGCTTTTCAAGTGATGTGCTGCGTCCTGCTGCACCACGAGGCCACAAATAATTCCAACGACCGCTGCTCATTTTAAATTAGCATAACTGTTTGCAAAGACGCAGGAAAAACAAAAACAAGAGCGGAGGAAGAACATTAGTCATCGCCATATTATTGCTATCAAAAAAAATTAGTGAAAATGATATGTGACACCTGAGCACTGACTCCAGGAGAAGTTGCAGGTTATTGTTTGAGTCATGGCAGCCGACCAAGACGGGCCTGGCAGGCACATCATCGTCTTCAACAGTCAAAAAGGCGAAACTTCAAAGGTGCAATGCCACAAATAGAGCACAGGTGCCCCACAGCCACCGCCAAGGCTGCTGAGCACACCTCATGCCAGACGCTTGGAGCCATCCCAAGCACGCTGCCGTCATTCCCAGAAGTGCTCAAGGGCTCTCTCTGGAAAAGAATACTTCCAGGAATGTATACTAAAGGACTGGAAATGCTAATTTGCTGGCACCATTTCTCTCAAGAAATCTCCTGCCAGTGGGAAAAAAAAAAAAAAAAAACAAGATCATGGAAATATCTGAGTTCCTTCTCATTTAAGTCTTGAAAATGCTTTTCATTTTCTGGACATTCCACATTCCAGTTTACAACTACCTGAGGACCCTCCTACATATATTTCATGTAGTTGTTATCTCTCTTGGGATATATTTGGGAAGCTCTAGAAAGGAACTGCAAGTGGTCAGCACAACAAACATTGGGTATTTTTATTTCTTTCTTGTTCACGCTGAAAGAGCTAAGCCTAATAATAATCTGGTTTGATTTGCAAAATGTATATCCTTAGGCTGATCATATGATTCATGGCGATTGTGAAATAGAGATTAAAAAAAGAAGTCTTTTAGGGGCCTGAGTTATGAAAACCAAGAAGTTACTTAACAGTAATACAGTTATTTAACAACTGTGGGCAAAAACTGTGCAAAGAAGAAGTGGCCAGGTGACCTGGAAACCCCTGGTCTGGAGAAACAAAGAGCATACAGTTGGGCTTATCTCTACTCCCCATTTGAGTTCAAAACAGATATTTATGTTCTTTTCTATAGGGTGATAGGAAAATTTTGTTTTATAGAAAAACAAATTAGGAAAAAAGAAAAAAACACCTAATAAATTAAGTGATGCCTCTGAATTACAAGTCATATCCAGGTGGAAAAAACACTTTATGCACTAGCATAGTGCACAGGACATCACTGATCAGGATGGACACGTGTGAATGGCTTTTTGTGACTTGGAGATCTTTCACCAGATGCACAAGGATCAACAAGCCTGCATGACCCTGTTGTGTAGTTTGTTTTCACTGGTAAAGGAATTAAAATCCCTTGTAAAGGGAAAAAGAAGTATTAACAAGATATATATTTTAGTTTGGGGTACGATAGACTCTTTCTATTACCAGTTCTACTGCAAGCTTAAACAACAAACTACACTGACAAACTATAAAGTGGCTCTTCAGAGGTGAAAAATGGATTCCACAATTAAGAATCAATTTGATGCAATACTACACTTAGATAAAGCAAAAAAAATCCTTTATTTTCTAATAATTACTCATTGAGCATCTCCTGCATTGACCACACACTTAATGCTGTCCAGTATGTTTAATTATTTATTCAAAGACAATTTCTCTCCCAGACAAGGAGCCAGGGTCTTTTGAAGTGACCCGAGTCTTGTTCCTGCAACGTTTCTTGCCTCACTTCAGAGCTGCTCCTGATTTAGTAAGCGTGAATCAAAGTTATAGAAGTGGGGGTGCCCCAATTTTAACTAATCATCTGATATTAAGCTGTTATCAAGCACAGTATTTTTTCTATCAGATTCATATAATTGAAAGACTTTTTAGTTATCACCAGGGTAAAAAGACGTGGAAAAGGTTTCTACTTGTGGCTGAAGGGAGGTTCACTGCCCAGGACAATGAAGATGTTGCTATTGTCTTTTAGTTTCAACGCCCATCATTCAAGCACCAAAAAAGGAACGGACAATGTTACAGACATGGGAGCATTTTATGCTGGTGCACAAAAGTACAGTAATATAATGCTTCCTCAAAATCAATTTTGAATCTTTTGATTTGTTTTTGGGTTTTTTTTTTTTGGATTCAGAAGTCTACACTTCTAACTCTAATTTTCATTTTTCCTTATCAAAGATTTCCAAGAGTTGGAAAAGCCTTATCCACTTAGGTAAACCTAACTTCGATGCTTCTGCCAGTGACAGAAAGGGCAACAGCCAAATGTTGCCCTTGTCTATGAACTGCACTTCGGGGGAGAAATTTTGATCCTTTCCATTTGAGAAATGAAATTTGTTAAGTGATTGGGCCACAATGCAGCAATAATACCATTGGCAATTTAAAAGAACAAATTAAAAACAACAACAACAAAAAAGCAAACAGTCAAGACATTAAGTCTAAAAATTATCTACGACACATGCATAGTAAAATGTTTTCACAAATTCTCCAAAGGATTTTTAATTATTACAGATTATATTAATTAGGTAATTATGCAATAGATTGTTTTGGAACCATTCCCATCTATTATGTATGCAATATTATGTACACAATACATGGTTTTTTTTTAAAAAAAACCTCTCCAGCCTTGCAAACCTCCGTTCCAGTCTGGTAGTCAGAGGGTTGCGTGGGTACACATAGGCAGAGCTTTTGCCCTGCTGTACATAAGTGCGTGCTTAAGAAATACTGGCACTACATTTTAAAAGCTACAAACTACTTTCAGTAGTTACAAGGAATGTACAGGGCATCTCCGGAGGATTAATGACCATCAAGGAAGAGGCGATGGCCCAAAGAGTAGTTGAGGGCCATTAACTCAAAATAATCATTAAGAGCTGCTTATATATAAGGGGTTTTATACCTATGCAGATAAGAAAAGCTCCCGGGTAGTCAGAGATTCATCTATGTTGTTTCAAATAGTCATATACATTTATTACCCCACTTTCAACCATGTGTCATGCTGGGCACAGAAAAAGGAGAGGGAGGGGAAAAAAATGATGATTTTCTTTCAGTTCATGACTTATAATTAGGCTTAGTTGCAAAATGTAGATCAGCCTTAAGCCTGCTCTAAGAAGCCATAGTTTACTGTACTTCTGTAACTTTTAATTACTGTAGAAAAGACAAAAATGCTCAGAAAGTCCCTTCCTCATTTCACCACAGCAAGAGCCATGTAGGTAAGTCCCAGTATTAGGGAAACACAGCTTCAAAGTCCTCATACGACAGCAAAGGAATAGGCTGAATATTTACAAACATTATTAAAGTCCTTTTGCTTCCCTCTTGCTGAGCCCACATCCCAAAGTTTGTATGGAAAATATAGTGTGCTTCCTCAGCCCCAGCTTTGCGGCGTTAAAAAAGCTGAAATAGTTGAATGCCTTTTTCATTCCTCTTCTCTGCAACTGTCCTCATTTGAACTATTTTTCTAGACCCATCATCCCTTGGAAAAGTGGTGTTATTCTAGAGTTAAAGAAAAATAAGGAGAAAACAGCAAGCTTAACAAGAGAAGACTAGTGAAAAAGAACCAGTAATAGTCACCAAGGATAGAAACAGAAGAACTCTTTGAAAGTCTAAAGAAGAGATGCTTTGTATTACATACAGAAAAAGATCTCTTTTTATCCTCTAGCTTACTTGCTCTTACAGAACATGTCTGAATTCACTATCACCTGCATTGGGGGGCTTGTCCCGCTCTTGAGAGTATCTCAGAACCATCCCCGCTTCTCTTCTGTGCCCTTCTCCAACTGGAGCAGGTTTCTCGGGACATTTTGGCAGCCCCTACAAACTGGCAGACATCAGGTAGTGCTCATAGTACATAACAGCAGTCTGTAACTGAGTGCAATCAGCGGTGATGAAGAGCAAGAGGAGCCTCTAGCCATGCCTGGTGGCCTGGGACATGGGAGAGATGTGCCAGGAGCAAGGTCTTGCTGGTGGGAAGACCTCGGCTGGGGGCTGCATTGGGTTCCAGAGGGCTGGATGCATCCTCTAGTCTAATATGAACTGAAAGCACTAATTGAGCCTGGGGAACACAGCTGGAGGGTTCTGTACGATATTTACAGCAAAAAAAAAATAGTAATAAAAAAAGAACAAGCTAGTTTTGGAAGTATCCACTTTGTAGACTTGATTGAGGGGGAAAAAAAACAAAAACAGAAATTGGTAGAAGATGCCCTGGGAACGTGTTATCCCTGAGTAACTCGAGTGCTGGTGACCAGAGAGCTCTTCCCCAAACTCTTCTACCCAGGAATACCTTTCTGTCTCCAAACAGCTGTCTTTAACCCTGTTGATGCTGCTTTCATCCCCACTTGTTCCCTGTGGCACCCAAACTCAGCTCACTAAACCAAAGGGCTATCACACTGACCCTGTGTGCAACAGACTGCTCTTCCAGTGCTGGCATTTGCTCGTCAAGTTTGCAGGCGCTTTAAACCCTAAAAATAAATATATAAAGCCTCAGATTTCTAGCCAATACTTTGTGATTTCATTCATTTTCTGATATGCTGTTCAAGTCAGAGGAATTTGGGCCTTCTTTCTTTCATTTTTGGCACATGGAAGCATTTTAAATTGTTCCTCCGTAGCCCACTAAATGATTTTGTTCTACTTCACCCACATTGCTTCATTTCTTGTATCACTGCTTGTCCTTTGATTACAATTGCAAATGGAAAACGCTTCAAAGTGGGTTTTGTTCCGAGAGCAGCTAGGAGCAGAGTGAATTAGTAGATTAGCCTATTTGGCAACTGAGATCGAAGCTCGGAGGGTACTGTAATAAATTTAATGTTCTCAGCCTGGGCTCCAAGTCCATGTTGCACAATCATCACCTATTACAGCGTCTCATTTAAAGACATTTGGCGGCCTTTGGCCAAAATTTGCAACACCTAAATAAACTGGGCCATTCCAGTTAATCAAAATATTTTCTTGGCCCAGCTCTCACAAAACCAATTGGCCATTTGTCTATCATAGGGATAGGGAATGTGTCTAAAAGCAGAGCAGGGAGAAGAGGCACGGAGGTTATTCTGTTCATGTGCCACACGTTGAAACTGCCTTTGAAGGCCTGCAGAGCAGGCATTGAAACCTAGTTGCAAT